TCCTGACAGGGAGCAGCGGCCCGGCGGGCCCAGGCGCCGCCATCTTCCCGCCTGGCGCACAGCGAGGCCTCTGAGCCAAACGTGCCACAGCGCTCCGTGTTTATTACATACAGCGGCTAAGTCTACAGCAGGTACACGTTGAGACACCGTATCTCAGGTTAAGCCTTGTTATTTTTTTTTCGCAAATAGTCTATAAACACCGATCGTTGCCCGTTGGTGGGCGGAAGGCCGCAGCGTGTCAGCCAGAAGCCACAACAACCCAAGCCTGAGCCAGCAGGCGGTTACCAAGCAAAGCTTTCACCCACAAAGCCGTTTCTCATTGCGGTTATAACGTCCTTTTTCACAACGTTATTCCAGCTGATCAGTAGCGGCTGGCTTCTCCTCCTTCTTGCATTTAATCCCAAAGAAACTGAACAGTTTCATGAGCATTAGGTCAACAATCTCTTCTTCTTCAGAAGCCTGAAATAACAACAAGGAGCGAGTTACGCAGGTGCACGGAGCAGAAACGGGTACAAGCTCTGCTGAAGGCAGAAAAAACGTCTCAAAGGAAAATCTCCACTTGAGGTCAGAAATAGCTCTGCCTCTGTCAAAGCCCGTGGAAATCTTGCTGCAGGAACTGGAAGTTCACTTGCCAGCGACCACACAGCTGGTGGTACAAACCACCCACCACATCTAGGTGGAGGAAATGAGAAAAAAACTAAATGTATCTTGGTATTTATTGACCATGTCCTTTGTTTTCATCTCCCTTGACTTTATTTAAAACGTAGAGGAATTTTGGACATTACTGGAGTACTAAACTGGATGTCACACTATGCTATCAGTAGCTTGAATGAGTCAGACACTCAGTAAGATGTTTTAAAGGAGCTGTAAAGTCCTCATGCACTTTAGTAGCAGTTTTGGCAGTGATTTCAGTAAGAGCTGGGCTCAAGTCTGAAACTTTTGCTGGATTTAGTATGTAAACAGAAGGCTACAAATCAGATCTTGTATTAAATCTGGACAGGAACTCATCTGAACTGGAATAGACAGTATAAATCTGGAAAATCTGAAGTGTGTTTTATGAGCAAATGTTGACTTCTTAAGAGTTGGACTGAGTTTTTGATCTGGTGGTGGAATACTTAAGTCATGAGTAAGCACTTTCACAATAAATGTTAAAAACATCAAGAGAGCTTAAATGAACACACCTGGTGGTGCTTCTGCTCCTCACTAAAAGCAACCAGAATCACCGAAATGAAGAGATTCAGTACCACAAATGTCATGAAAATTATGCAGGATCCAATTAAGAAGGAGCCTAAAATTGGATTGTAGTCTATGACCTGTAAGATTCATAAGGTAAGACATCATGTTTTGATTGCAAAAAATTCCAAACAATAAAAGCATACATACGAGCAGTTAAGACACAATAAGTAGTTTTTCTCTTTGAAAACACTTGTGGCTAATAAATTATGCTATATCTATTATACATACATGTATAAATTTTCTCCTTTAGTCACTTTCCTGTGTTGATATGACATAGTACAAAGATTATAGACTTTTTAATATATGTGTTCTATGAATTTCGGCAATCTTTGGGGTTTTTTAAGTGTTTGCATTTGGTTGTAAGGGCATGAAAGTTTCACATGAAAGTTGGCAAGCCTGGAGATCTGCTTATCCACAGGATGGCTGAAGCTCCATCATGCCTCAGCTTTCCAAGTACAGATGAAGTCTACGTGTGCTTTCATTTTACTTTATTGTATGCGTTACAGAGAAGCCTGGTCACACTGTCGTGGACACATGTAAACTAAGGGTTGTGTAAAAATCCAAACCCCTAATTTTCATGTAAGCTATAAACTAGGAACATGAATGGAATGTAGATATGAAAAAATCTGTGCTCAATTACTCATCTTCAAAGCTATCCATACTCTGTTGGTTCCATGGTCTAAAAACATCTACCAAGGAGGACTCCACAGTCAGAGGTGTTAGGGAGCTAGCTTAATCCACAGAAAGCTGTCCAAAGGATATTATAATATTTGAATTTAATGAAGAAGTCAAGAATAATAAAACCAAACATAATGTAAAGTCCTCTTGTGGGAGGTCTTGCCTTTCTTGGGAAGCTGATCAGGGGCTGTTCAGAACAAACATAGGGCATTGCTCACATTTCTTTCTGTATTTTTCTAAGGACATTGCTCAAATTTTCTGTAATCAATAAATAATATAGCTAGTTAAAATGTGAGCTCCTTTCTCAATGAAAGGTTCATTAGAGTCTACTGATGGTCAAAATGGAATGTGAGCTATATTTCTCTTGCTGTCTTTTTCTTGAGGAGAAAAGACATCTATCTGCTTTAGAAAGCTGAGGAGCTTGCTAAATTAGATTAATGTCTCACACTAATTGAAAGTCTTCTTTTTGCTGGGTCAAAGTGTATTTGATAGCTGAGATGCTAATTATATAGTGATAAACTTCTCAAAATCAGACAGAGGTGGTACCTCCTCATAGTTGAAGATTCCCAGCTGAAGGCTAACCATGGTCTCTGCTGAATCAAAGAGAGTTTTGTAAGAGTAGAGCTTCCAGCCAAAGATTAGGTTTGTCTGCAGAGGAAAAAAAAGCATATTTTGTGTCATGATCAGGGGCCTTTTATGAGAAACTGGGTTTTTTGTTCACAAACAGGGGAAACACCAGACAAGGTCACAGAATAAGATTAACCTGGAGCTATGAATGGGATTCATACTTTCTGAATTTGGTTAACTGTGGGAGCTTTTTTCATGGGTATGAGAAGATCTGCTAAGCTTGCCACAAGATATGTAAAAAATTGGCAAATACATCACAAAGTCATAGAAGTAATTCAGCTCACCTCCAAGGAGCAGATTTATCCATGCATAGTTGCCCATATTAATCATAGTCACAAACACTTGGCTTTCAATGCACAGATCCTTCCAAATAGGCAACCTCCTTGTTTGCCCTCAGTAACTAGTGTGTTTTTCATTTATATCTTGTGGCCCTACTGTGTCTGATTTAAATGGGGGCTGCTGCAGCCTCACCTTTTTCTTCATCCCTCTGCCTCTTTCTTTCACAGCATGATGTCTGAACAGGCTGGGTCATGGGACTTATTTAATCACTAATTTTAACTGCTACATTTGTAGTCACACAGGTGCCTAGGGCTACTCAGTTGGTAGAGTGCCAGTGCTGCAGGGAGAGACTGAGGAATGTGAAATCAGGACGAGTGAAGCTGCAGCAGGTCCTGTTTGTCATGGGACTGCCCTGGTACAGGAATGTTTGGGTTTGGCTCAGATGGTTTCCTCTTTTTCAGAGATTTTGCAATTGAAATGTACTGAATTTACCATATTACTCTGCCAGACGATTTTTGCAAAACACTTAAGTAAAACAGTAAATATACATAAATAGCTGCAGTCCAATAGTTATTTAATCTTATTAGAATGAAAATACAATTGTATTTGCATAAGTATTCCTATAATAGGCAGAAAAATAATAAATTCCCACTTTAAGACTAGCCAAACAAAACTGCACTTGCTACAATCTTCCCAATTTAAACTTATCCAGAAAACTGTTTTGTATTTTATCACACCTATTACATACAGATAACCATTTTATTTTGTATGACTCTGATTTTTGTACTAAATTGTAGTTTGCAATGAACAGACAAGTGGATATTTTAACTTTGCTTTCACTTACACTGAAGAATTGGGCTACAAACTGCCAACCTAAGATTCAGATAGGCAGCTTTATTCAGTCTTACATTTCAAAGCTTTGTTGCTTTCAGCATTTGGAAATAATTCATCTAACCTGACAGTACCTGGGTGCAGACTGCAGACAACAGAAACCACAGTGGTACTCACAGCAATAGAATAGGCCAGGAACATGATTGTAATAACAGTGATGAATCCAGAGATATCCCCCCACGCCCTCCTTAGAGTTGAAGTGATCATGTTTAGTTTAGGGTTGAGCCTCAGGAGGTGCCACAATTTCACTGTGGAGAGGAGCACTAGGAATGCAATCAGGTAGCCAAGAACTGCATCAGCTCTTGCTGTTTCATTAAAGCTTACACAGCTGTCAGGGGAAAAAAAAAATAATATATATATATATATAAATAAAAGTAATAGACTGTGCACACAGAAGCTTTTGAAGTGCATAAATGAGTGTGCTGAAAAAGCCAGTCACTCTGTCCTTGTTTTCAGTGCACGGCTAGCTTGCGTTCTTGCTTGAGTATTCCCATCTGTACTTCCTGCTGTGTGCACACAAAAAGCTCAGTCTTACATGGCAGAGTGTTTTCAGCAGCATTAGCTAGAGCTGAGAGAGGGTCTAGGCTGTAGCCCAAAAGCTGCTCATTTTTAGCAAGTCACAGTTTACAGGCAGCTAATGCAAACTTACTGTCAAATTCTGACCCTTAGAAAGGGTCAGAAAGGAAGTTGGAAAAGGAAAAGAAGTTGTTTTCTTCTCTGCATGTGTGAATAACTGAAGAGGGTTGAGGTTACTGGTGCTGTGCAGGATTAACTAATTTCCAGCGAGATATGTGAGAAGGTACTGTAAGGAATGAAGTAAAAGACTGGAGATCACAACCATGGTCTGTGACTGAGGTGAGTCCAGTCTTAAGGTTAGCTGAAAAAAAAAACTTGTTAATACATTATCTAGCTCAGCTGGGGATCTTGGTGCTTGACTGCTGGACTTTATAGAGTGGTATCAGAGGAAAACCCCATTGCTGACACACAGTAAGCCCTGAAATACTTACATGCTTCATTAATATAGCCATATAAAGTAGTGTTAGCTAGCAGAGAAAAGCTGCTGTTTGGGAAGAGGAAAACCAGGTTTGTTTCTGCATAAGTAGCACCAGCAAAGGGTGTACTAACTAGCATTAGTACTTACTCCTCTTTGTGTTCCTGGTAGTAGCTGATGTCTCGTGTCCCAAGGATTGTCCGCTTCACAAACACTGAGAGGGCACTCCAGCTGATCAATATAATGGCTATCTCCAGGAGATTCCACTTGCTGTGGAAGTATCTCCATCTCAGAGTCTTCATCAGTTTTCCCTGGGGAAAGAGAAGTTTTACTGTTTCGGT